CCCCAAAACCCCAAAACCCCAAAACCCCATGAGTGAAATATGAACTGAAATTCGAAATGGACACTTTATATCTGAATAAAAATTGATTGTAATTTTTCATAATAGGATCAATATATATACTTAGCAATAATCAATTATTAAGAATAAAATGGCTAAGAAAATTGCTTAGTAAAAGCAGCCAGCCCCAGATAAGCAAAAAGGCCATCAACATCCAGCCTTGAACCACCCACTCTTCCAGCAGTTTGTATTTAAAGACTAGAGTGTGTTCCCAGACTCTATTAAGGTCATTGATGTGCAAAAAATAAAGGATGAAATCGAATCAAAAAACAAGAAAATAATAAATAAAATTAGCTTTGATGTCAAGTATTTCTTATTTGCCATCGTACAAATCATATTTGTAAATCTCCTCATCTTTAAATAGGTAGGTTATATGCATACTATCAAACATTAACAATTTTATAGAACTATGAGTATATAAACTTTGACTTGGTTATATTTTCTGCACTAATGCTTGGTAGAACTATATACCTAAAGATTATAGCTCACAATTCGTATTTGGGTATATAAGTTCGTAATAATCAGGCAAATCGACATGTAATGCTAAATATGATAATGCTTGTTCTTATGATAATTCAAATCATTGTAGTTTGGAGATTATTCATTGGAAATAACTTCCACAATTTTATATGTCTATTCTATCCGTAAGTATTTTCTTGATGACAGATTTTGATTTAACTGAATCTCATCAATAATTTTGTTTCCTCCTACTACTTTTTGGTAATATATGAGGGATATATAATATTGATAGATTATCAGTTACTTAGTTGTAATCATATGTCTAAATTTAAATATAGGATAATGTTTGAACTGCTGCTATTTGGAATACAGACTAAGTACGCTTTGATAGACTAGCCAAATCAATCTGATTGTGCCAGTAATCAGCGATACTCATCTTCTATTCATGAATTTCAGCACCTTGTCAAAGCTATTGTCTTCCAATCCTTTGAATTAGCTTATTTCACAGGATTTATCACAGTTAAATTTATCCCATAGGACTTGGTCATTTACTTCGATAGCTTCTCAGTGTACATATTTACCCTTTTCCTATGGATAAACTCTGTTACCATACTTTTCAGTCATTACCTACAAATGAGATGTATTGAGCTTCAGTTTAATGCTCAACTCTTAGGCAAGTGGACCTCAATAAAGAAAGTTTCAAGTCTTCCAGCAACTCAAAGCAATAATATCTCTCAAGAAAGCTCATCCATTGACGATCTTAAAAAAACCTCAACTATCAGTAAAGGAGAAAGATAATCAGCAGAGAGTAGTAAAGCCAATCTGCTTACTCATACAATATAATTAAATACAAATGATTTAACAAGTAACCCTAGTAACACAACAGCTAATGCATAAGGTAATAACTAGATTAGCAGCATTATTACCACTGTAGATTAGTTGAACTTGCCAAGTTGGAACTAAGTTTAGAGCTATCATAAGGATTAAGTAATTAGCTACAAAAAGAAAGCCTATTAGGCAGTATCAGATATTGGAAACTTTTCCAAGCCTGATGATTTGTTCTCTCTTGCAATTTATGAGACATTCAATCAACCTAGTAGAACTTTCATTGGTATTCACTCCATCTATGGCATGGGAGTGTTACTCTACACATTATTTGCTCTAGCACAGAGAATTCAGCTATATCTCTATCTTGGATAGTTAGTAGCAAGCTATCTCATGATGCTTAACAGTTTCAAGTTTTCGAAGAATGTGACTAGAAAATATGCTTTCATCAATCAGCTTTCTGCAGTTTGAGTATTTTCATGATCAAATCACTAAAAATAAGCATATGTGAAATGCCTTATTCTTTGAGTTCTCTATAATTAATTTTGGATTATTCTGAAGATAAAGTTATAGAAGTTGTTTCTGTTAAAATTTGTATTAATTTCCTTAATATTCAAACTAGTAATCTATTAAAACAATTAATCTAATTTCTTAATAATTTTGATTTATAAATGGAAAAGTCCAAGCAACCCTCGGTCGCAGTCGGAGATCTTAATGCTAATAGCCAAGCTAAGGATCCTAAGCCAGTTAAAGATGATAATCTTAATCCACTGTTAAATAATGGAATCACAAACAGAGATGTAAGTTAATCATTTAGCTTTGATACTCATTCTATTATATTTTTTCACACCATTCTATTTGATCTTAACGGGAATGTGTAGATTTTCAGAACACTACTGTTTCATTTCAAGACTGACAATTACATTCCAATCGATGGTGCAGCTAAATTTGTTGTAAATCTGCTTAAGAGACCAGTTAAGACTAAGTATGATGAGGAAGCTGAGGCCAGATTCTTCAACTCGCTTGTTTAAATTATGAAGTCATTTTCCTTTGATGGCAAGAATCTCTCAGAAAATTCTTTCTGCAAGTTGATGCAGTCCTTTGAGACATTCAATGAGAATGAATTCACAGATCAATAGCAATATGATATGTTCCTTGAGAGACTATTCTACAGAATCAAGCACAAGAAGACTGACTAGATCTAGATTGAAGATTTCAAGGAGCTGATTGAGCGAGCTGGCTTTAAATTTGAAAAAGGAGAGTTTGAGAACCTTATTAAATGGTATTTCAGGAATAAGGAAACTATCACACTTGAGGAATTTAAGCTATTTGCAACAGGAAACTGCGTCAAATTAGTGGATAACAAGAAAAAGTGACAATCATAATTTTAATTCTAGCAAATTATCTTATTTTGATTAGAAATTCAATGATTTTAATATATCGGGGTTTTGGGGTTTTGGGGTTTTGGGG